AAATTTAGAAGATGGTTGTTATGGTATTATGATGGGAGGTGGAGATACCTAAATGATACTAAATTAAATTGTTTCAGTAGACATTTTCTAGGTGAAACAGAAGAAATAATGTAAGAAACTAAGAAATTTTTAGAAAAACTTTGATATCCAGAATCCATCTGGTCTTAACAGATTTGAGTGTATTATTTACATATAAAATTTAGGAGCAACAGAAACATGGGAGCAGATGAGAACTACTCTTTTATCCAAATTTGGATATTATTAAGTATTCATCAAATGAAAAAGTTATTTATTTAATTTTAAAAAAAGGAAATTCCAAAAAATGTTAAGGACTTTTTTAGGCTACTCTGAAGAACAGGTAAAGAGCTTTCTTCACAAATCAAAGAAGTGACTGAAAAATATTACCAGAACTCAGGGAAACAAATAAAAAAGTTGTAGATTCTGGGGAAAAGTTAGGATTCATAGATTGATGAAGCAAGGGAAACCCCATTATGAATAGTCTAGTACCTCTAATGTTAAAAATTTACTGGATGGGTGGGCTGATTTCCCCTGACCTCTCTTGGTGGCTAGAGAAATATAGAGAAATCAGAGCACAGAAAAACTTCTAAGGGCCAATGAAGGTAGAACACCTTAATTCCTACTACCTAAAAGATTTCTACCATTTTATCAGGTACCAATAATCAGATTTCAGATCCATGAACCACTAAAGAAAAGAAATAATCCAGCTGAGCATGGTGGTACAAGCATGTAATCCCAGCACTCTGGGAGGCTGAGGCAGGTGGATTGCAAGTTTGAGGTCAGCCTGGGCAACTTAGCAAGACCCTGTCTCAAAAAAATTAAAAAAAAAAAAAGCTGAGGATGTAGCTCAGTGAGAAGGCCCTGGGTTCAAACTCCAATACAGTAAAAACAAAAATGGAAAGATAAGGCCGGGGATTTAGCTCAGTGGTTCCGATGTCTGCCTTGCAAGCACAAGGTCCGGAGTTCGATCCCCAGTACCAAAAAAAAAAAAAAAAAGAAATGGAACGATGGAAAGAAAATTTATGTAAGGACTCTAAGTAGCCAAAATAAATAAATACAACAGGATAGAGGGAGGGAGGGGAAAAAAAGGGAAAGAGAGAAGAAGGGCTAGAATAGCTAAATAAGTAAAAAAACAAAAAGGGCACTTAGTGATATTAATATTCAGCACACATACACACACAGCTTGTTGAAGCAAACCAAGCAATAACCACACCATATGCCAAATGCCAAACACAGCTTTCCAATAAGCAGGTCAGTAGGTAAAGGCACAGACAGCCAATGGTAACCTAATGGAATAACAGAATAATGCAAGGTGTTTGTCTCTGTTGAGGCACTTAGGGATAGAGAAACAAGCACCGTGTGGTCAGCACGCATGCTGCTTCAGCTTAGAGCTTTAAAATACTTTCAATTCTGCTTATTGAAGTCTGCTAGCAACTTCATAGCCTTTTTAATGTATTGTACTATTTTGCAATTTATTTCAATTTCCAAGCCAATTTTCTGCTTTTATTTGGTCAGCTATTTTTCTTGGCCATAAAGTCTTCATCCACTTCTTTAAACTATTAAAGAATATTCATACAATGGAACACTATTTAGCAGTAACAAGTAACCAACTACCGATACAATGTGGATGAATCTTTGTGTTTGTGTGTGTGTGTGTGCGTGCACACACACATGATGTTTATTTACAATAAACTGCAGAAGAGGGTTTAAACTAATGGATATAGGACTGCACTGGATAATGAAATGCTTTGTGACAAAGATCCATCTGTGTATCATTTAACTTAATTTTTGGAGGGAAACAAAAGTAGCCTTGTACAAATAATAAACTGTGGGTGTTAGGGGTGCAGAGCTCTTGGAAATTAGGCTTGCTACCATTTTGTTCTAGAGAAAGGTCTACTTATCTAATACAAAGGGGCTGAAGAGTAGGGAGAGAAAAGGGGAATTGGTTCGTGGCCTATGAACTCAGTGATGTTTCTAAAGCCTGACTAGAAGAGTCAAAGCCACCCAGAACATAACTAAGAACATGGACAAACCTTAAACTTCATTATCTTTGGTGAAAGAAATTAGATACACTAAAAATACAATTCTATTAACATTCTAGAATAGAAAAAATTAATTTATAGTGATAGAAACAAGATCCAGATCACATAGTAGCTGCTAGCAGTGGGAGGATCTAATTGGGAAGGGGCACAAGCAGACTTTTATACTTACACTTATGTATACAATACTCAAAGCTGATCCAACTGAACACCGAAAATATATTTTGCTATATATAAAGTACACAGCATTGAACATTTTAAACTATTACAAAATTCACTCAGTACCATAGGGTAAGACTTCTAATTAACTATAGGATATTCAAGAGTCTCCTCTTAATTTTTATACTTTTATTTATCTACTTTTGGTACAAACAAAACCAGTGTTTTCAAAGAAGTAACTCAGTTTCATATAAAGTCTACAAACCTTTAGAAATTATCTTCAAGTAAAAGAAAAGTAAATCCTTGTCTTTTTTTTCCATCTTCTCTACAAACTAACCCCATCATTCGAGCTATTTCCATAGACTGGAGAAGTTTTTGTGGTACTTTATACAGAACTAAGACTTCAGTGTCTACCTTAGAGGTTAACTTCTAAGACTGTTACTTCCATGTCACAAGACAGGACTATGGATCTCATTTTCATTAACATTAAAAAATTAGAGGTCAACTTTTCTTTCCAACTATCAAGTGTCTTACCATCTAGCTATCATAAAAAAATAGTCATTAACAAGCTTTATGGCCAACTTTTCTACTGTGCTTTCTTAAGGGTTAATTTTTCTCAGTGAAAGAATTGCTCAACAAAATAGACTGTGTCAACAGACTAAAAGTAAATTCATCCAAAGATCTGTTTTTCTCCCTGACATCTGAATAGTGGTTCTTTGATATATCTATCCCTGTTATCTTTTGGCACATTTTACATGAAACTAAAACTCTCACTCTTAACATAGGTTTTGATTTTTGTTATTGCTAATGATTTATCTATAAAATTCCCCTCAAATCTCACTGTACTCTTCTTGTGTCCTGAGATTTTTTTCCTCTCATGTTGATATATGTTATCCTGCACCATGTGTTCACTACAATTATGCTTACAAAATCGCCCACAGTATACATACTATTTTTTATTTATTTTTAGGTCTATCAAGTAAATACAATTCAATCACTTTATTGTTTAATGCTTTGAACATTAAAAAGGAAAAACAATTGAACAGTTTTTTTCAGGTTATTTCTCAAATCTGATAATTAAATACAGACTGCTTTCTTAAACCAAATTCATCAGCTATTTTAGGGTTTTTGGTTTTAAAACCGCCTTATAATGTAGTTACCTTATTGTTTTTAGTATGTAATACTAATCTTGTGTCATTTTAACACAAATGGAATCTGTTTATCCAGACATAGCCTATGTATCTGAATGATGTCATCAAGTTCTGGAGGAGGCAAAATAGTTTAGAACCTATGACACTGGCTTAACTACTCCTTCAGTGTGTTTATATGATAGTAATTGAAAGCGCAAAGGTTTACTACCTTGTAGAAGTAGTTTAAAAAAATCAAGCAAAAACCAATTTTCCATTGAACCCACAGAGGCAAATCTTATCTTAGGCTACTTCTAAACATGCAAATCCAAACTACAACCCATGGAAATTTACTTCAGCAGGGTGTTCTGAAGCAAATGTCCCAGTTTGAAGTTGTAACCAAATCCAAAAGTTACAACAAATAGGGGTTATACCATAAATGACAGAATAAAAGTTCCTGTGAATTGATGTGCTAAGTTGGCAGTTTCCTTACTACTTCTTTTTAATTTTTATTTGTTTAAATACTGATTGTCCATTCTATAAGATTTGGTCTTTCCCACACTAGATGAAAGAGTCTCAACTCTGGAACTAATGACATTTTGGGATTGGTAATTCTTTGTTTGGAAGGGCTGTTCCACACATTTAGGATATTTAGCACCATCTCTGGCCCCATTCACTCAATGTTAGTAACATTTTTCATGTGTAATAATCAAAAATATCTCCAGTCATTGCCAAACATCCACTGGGAAGCAAAACAAAACAAAACAAAACAAAACAAAACAAAGTCAAACCTTGCTTGATAACTGCTCCAACTAGATGAAAATCTTTTTTATCTTGGCAAAGATCTGGAAACAATCTAAATCATACATTGCCTTCCAAAGCTGCTGTCCAGGTATCACAGAAACTAAACTAAATTAGAAGGAAACTTCTAAAGTCATGCATAATTATTTCTACCCATCAGGCACTAAATCATCATTATTTGAACTAATGATTTATAAACAATGATTCTATTTATGCTGGACATTTCTGTTGGATGAGCTAAATTCTACTCTCTTCATTCTGAAGTAAAATACAATGAGATTTAATAGGAGGATGCAGTGGAAGATGGGGCCAGACAACAAAGATGTCAATGTGATGGAAATTTTAAGCAACCGGACTCATTTTTCTTACTGACATTTTAATAGATACAAGATATATTTTTTTCCTCTGGGTATCTAGACACTATTACATATGTTATTAACTAATTAACTGGTAGAAACTTAAGAAAATTGAACTGCTTTGATATAAGTTCTTAATATTTATTTAAAACTGTTAAGTATTATACAGAGAAATACTGAAGAGGTTTATTCATATAGCTCAATATTTTTGAGTCCATTAATTCACAGGAAATGATACTTTGCTATTCTCTTTTCCTTCTCATTCCAGATTCTTATAATATTCCTCTAAAAATTAAAACTTGAAAAATTACCTTTATGGGATCACCTCCTTTTGATAATCTTATACAATTAGAATCCTGACCATATGACCTATTTTCATTCAATAACCATGTGACCAAGTAGACACTGTTCAAATTTTTAAAAATTTGTGCTATCAAATGTTTAACAGGATGATAATAAAAGTATGTTTAACATTTGTGAACAGACAATAAGGTTCTTACCTACAAGCAACATTTGGATCAGCATTTCTTGAAAGTAACAGATCTACACACTTCAAGATTTGTTCCTCTGAGCCACGAGCAGAACATGCAGTTATCAAAATAGTTTGCTTATCTATATTAAATAGAACAGGAAAAATTTCCACATATTAGAAAGCATATCTAATTTACTTCTTACCATTCAAAATATTCTAAATATTATACTTTAAAATTCCACAACTTCTTTCTAAATCTTTCACTTTTAGCAGATAACTCATCAAAACATGAGATCAGGTATGAATCCCTTTGATCTCCAAAATGTGTGTACAATTCAATTCTTAAATTCCTTCCCCTATTCTCATTTCTTCAAGAGAATGGAAAGTAGTTAAGCACATAGACTCTGTGCAGCCACACTGCTAAGATATGAATAAGTACTGGTTTATTAAAATTAGTCTTGCTGAACTTACGACTGGAAAACAATCTATATTCTCTGGTTTCATTACTTTTTTTTCCATTTGACAATTCTTGAAATCTTGGTTTATAATTTGGCCTTAAGAACTGCTATAACTGCCACATTTATTGTTCTCTTTCAGTCCTTTTCTACTTGATCTCTCTGAACTCACTCCATTTCCTAAAACTCTCCTCTTGGCTCCTATGGCATCAATGGACATCAGAGTAGATTAAAAACAAACAAGAACACTTCATTTGAGAACTCAAGGAATTCAAAATAGGTCACCACAGCCATGGTTTACATTAGTGGCTCAATGCTGACAGAGCAAGATTCCTAGTCCTAGTTTTGCCATTGATAAACTATAATTCCAGTGATGTCTTATTGTACTATTAGATCTAATTTAAAGATGTGAAACTAATACCCACTCTCTTTACCTGGTAGGGCTATTTATGTGTACATTCTGTGAAAAATATGAAGTGTTTTATAACTGTCCATATTTTTCTTATTAGGAAAGAGGAGCAAAAAAAAAAAATCAAATGTTTAAGCAGAATAATTTATAGACTTTGTAAAAATCTCACTCTTAAGTGTTGCTTTCATTGTGTATTTTTAAGTAACATAATAAAAAATAACCCTGTAAGGAATTTTTATAAAATTTATCAAAGAAAACAGAATAAAAACAATTTTATAAATATCTAACATAGATACAAAAATTAATGTGAAAATTAATGAAATAAAATCTATACCTGAATTGTGAAATATGTTGAAATATGTATGAAAAACGTGTTAAAAATAAGTAATCAGTAATTCATTTAAACTGGCCAGGTGTGATGGCACACACCAGTAGTCCTAGCACTCTGGGTGGCTGAGGCAGGAGGAGCCACTGGTTTGAGCTCAGTCTGGGCAATGTAGCAAGACTCTGTTTCAAAATAAAAAATGGTCAGGGATGTAGCTCAGGGTGAAAAGGCTCTTGTTTGCAAACGAACAAAAAATTACACTGAATTTACACAGACTCTTGTTCTTTAAAAGCATTACTGAGTAGGAATTATTTAATAAAATACTGAAACTTGAATTAAATAGACTATCATTGAAGCAATTCTAAGCGATATAATTCAGAGTTGAGTTCCACAGTTCAACAGACTGATTTTCAAGCAATTTCCAGGAAATTATCAGTTTTTTGATGTCTCTTTGAAAGCATTTTTCCTTTTAAAAATAACCAAAACTCTGAAGCCCAGAAGTTAAAAGTTAACATTATATGTTATAAAGATAAAATATCTGGAATCTATCTTCTTAGAATTTTAAAAAATATGTAGGTTTTTCAATTCAATTTTGCATAAATTTATATAATACAACTCGTAGGTTTTTCTCAAGCTGCTTTAATTTTTTTTCACTTTGCATAAATGCTGCTTGGGAATAAAAGAATCACAGTAAACCTAAGCAGTTACATTTTCTCCATCATCTTACCTTTATTAAAGCTTGCATTAGCACCTCTGTCCAAAAGGACCCGAACCAGTTCTATGTTGGCAACACTAGCAGCATACATAAGAGGAGTCCATCCATAACAAAAGATAGACTCTATGTCAATACCTTTCAATATAAAAACAATCTTTTAAAACCCTCTCCACTAAAAATAATAAAACAAAACAATTTTCATTTTAGTATGTGAAAATACTAATATACACCACACAGTTTATTCTACAAGAGAATTTCTTGGTAATAACAGCCTCAGAAAAATAGAAAAAGTTATATAGGGACTTCAAGAAGACTTGCTATCTTCAGTTTCACTGTAGGCACTATATTCCAAGAAATATGATCAGAACATTGTTTTATCATACAATATATAAAATACATATATAGTATAAGAGGTGTCTACATGCTACCTTCTCTCAAAGGGAGTTAGGAAAGGTTTAACAGAGGGAATGTTTCTTAAATTAGAATATTACCCCTGAGAAATAACACACATCTCTCCAATTGTAAATGCCACCTAAGAGACCCTTACCTTCCCTCCAAGCTCAAAACATACAAATGGGTGACTGAAGAAATACAAAGCTAAAAATACAGATTAGAGTTAGATTATGAAAGCTTGTTATGAAATGCAGTCAGTATTTTGTGATTTATGGATCAACATCATTGTATCTGTATTACAAAGACAACACAGACAACTACTATTGAGAATGAGAAAGTCAGGGAGACCAGTACGAGCCTTAATATCTATACAAAAATCAAACCAAGGATAGTGCAGACAAAGAAGAAAGAACACAAGACTCAAAGGCACAATCATTGGAATTTAAAATTATTCTGAGCAGAAGAGATGATGAAAAAGAATAAATAGCTATCAGGTCCCTTAGAAAAATGAGTAACAAGCAGTGAGCTAGAATAAAGAGGAATAGATGACATACCTGGCCTTAGTAATAAAGTTTTAAATACCCACTATTCAATATGAGACCAGTAATAACTATTAAGAAAAGGCAAAATTATTAGATCTTAAAGTCCTCAAATTATTAACGGTACAAATCCTTGGAATTACATGATTTTCCCTCAACAATATTGCTTGGTTTGGTCATATAAAAAAGGGAAAAAAAAGGCTGAACTGATTAAAAAAAAAGAAAAAAAACAAACTAATTGGGGAGAAACATAAAAGCTGTAATACCAGGATAAAAATACAATTAAAGCAACGAACATAACTCATTACATTTATGTAAAGCCTCTTCAATAAGATCAAGATTTAGGTGGCAATCTATGTGACCTAAGAAATATTTGCTAATCTCAAGAAAAGAAGGAAAATAGAGTAATTTTGTTTTAAAGAACTTGAATATGAAACATCACTGAATATGGGCCTAGCTTGACACTTTGTAACTTACAGATTTTATAGTCTCTGGCTATAAAGTGTTCCACTTGCGAAGATGAAAGTCATATTACTTACTGTGGAAATGCAAACTTGGGAGGGGGCTGATTTTTCTGTTGAAATACTAAGTCACTGAAAAACTAATATCCAATTCTCAACTGTCTCACTTCAATATAAGGTACATGATAATCATTGGGAGAATACACTAAATTAAATATATATATATATATAAATGTTAGTACATCAAAGAGTAATAAAAACTGGAGACATCAATAAAAAAACTCCAGACATTCTGAAGCTGATAAAAGTAGCTCCCTCAAACGGTGCTTTCATTTTCTGCTATCTGGCCCAGACCCCATTCCACCAAAACCAAATAAAAAACAGAAAGAGAAAACTACCATGTACATAACTAGAAACAATTATCGAAAGACTCGTATCATAGCCAAGTAAATGCTGAACATGAATGATCCAAACTTGAAAAAGTTTGAAGAATTGATGATTGTTAGTTAGGCTGACATTCCAAATGTGAGGATGGACACATAGAAAATAGGAGACAGAGAACTCAGACTCAACTAACATATGTAGGACAACTGGTACATTAACATTCATTGTGTTTTAAATAGAAAAGCAGTGCAAAGCTTTTAAAATGAGGGGGGTAAGGCTAAGGGAAATTTAAAAAAGGAAGACATGTTATGTACATGTAACAACTTCCTACAATGAATGCAATTATTGTGTACTGCAATTGTGTACTAATAAAAATTTTTAAAAAGAAAAATAAAAGGAGGCACCCTTGTGAACTTAAACAATTATTTTCAGTGGACACAATCTCTTTACTCTCACCAGAATCTAGAAGCTCCTCTACTAAGGAAATATCTCCGGTAGTCAATGCCTTCTTGAACATTTCACTCTTTTCTTCAGTGGGAAATGGCCTTTTTAATTTCTTAAAAAGCAGAAAGTAAAAAAATACCGATTATACATATTTTCATTTCCACTGCACCAGTAAACAATGTTTAGTTAACTACATGGATCTGTTGTGGCCAACATGAACAACCTGTGAAGAATTCATGTCCAAAAATTACTTTTAAAGGGAGTGGGCAATGAAAGGTCCAATCCCATGTGAAGAGTTACATCTACAACCCAAGGGAAGAGCATCCAATGAAAACGAACTCTGGGAAGGAACAAAAGCAAAAATGTGAGGGTTTGGTCATGCGCAATGGCCCGCTCATACTATTTCGAAGCACCGGTAAAAGCTAAAGAAACACGTGCGAGGAAGTAACAGATTCCACCCGGCTAGCCCTCGCCTTCGAAAGCCACGGGAGGCCACTATCATGTGCAATCCAAACAAGGCCTCCTCCTCTACCTGACACGCCTTGTCCAGATACCCAATCTCCCAGCCATCGTCCTCGCTATCGCTACTCTCGCCTCCTCCGGCCACTGGCAAGCCCCGCAGCAGGCCCGCCGCCATGCCTGCCCCTCAGCTCTCTTAGCACTTGCGCACCGCGAGGCGTAGCGCTGCGCGGCAAAGAACGACGCACGCTCGCACGCTCGCGCTTTGGCCGTCAGCGCAGGCGCGTAGCTGCACGCAGCTGCCCCTCCCCCCCGCCCCGCCCCTTGTCTCCATGTTCCACTTGTGGCAAGAGTCGGATAACCCTCATCTTTCCTTGACGCCTCCCTCATCACCCCGTTAACCTGCTGTCAAATGAGTGCCCCCTCTGAGACAGCTTCTCTTGGCTAAAATACATCCGTAAGGGGCACTACCCAAACTTGCAAGAAGCCATTGGACAACGGGAGCCCTCGAGGAGCCAAGAAAAAGTACCTTCCCAAAGAATTATTAACTTCTAGTTTATGTGATCTCATATCTCAGCTTAGATTTGCAAACGTTAGACCATCAAAATGCTTTCCTATTATGAAGTTTAGATGCCTCAGAGAAAAAAATCAGTCATAAAGAAAGGTTGTAAGGAACACTGTATTCAAAGAACTGGGATGAACTAAATGATTAAAACATTCAGGGAGCGAATAAATAATAAAAGCAACCTCAGGTGAAAGCAGCCCATGGTCAAATACAATTTTTTGCATCTAACATTTAGGTGGTGTTGATAATACTTTATCTTTGCCACCACAGAAAAGTAGTTTCATCAAGGAATACATTTACATACCCCAAGATGATTTAAAAGGAAAATGGCTATGAACTATTTGAAAACTTATGCAGTACACTTTTTTTCTTAAAGATTCTTTGATGCAAGATTTTGAAATTATTTACTTCAGAGACTCTCAAAGATATGTATTTTTAAGTAGGTTAGTTATTTTGGGCCCACATTTGTCTACGTGCACCCATTCAATAAATGTTAAAATCATTAAATATAACTAGGAACAACTAGGTTTGGACAAATGAAGCCCTGAGAGGCAAAATTTAAGGAGGTGAGTATGTTTAAAATTTTGCCCCCCAGGCACCTAACTTAATTCACCCCAGTTGTTACCCTGCTTGAATAAGAAAGGAGGTCTGAAGCTCCAGCTTCTTGAGGACAGGAGTGATGACAAGGAGACCTTGTGGGGCTAAGTAAGGAATTTGGATTTTACTCTAAAAGCAATTGAACACTGAATATTTTTAAGCCAATGAAAGGCACATTCTGGAGTGTGTGTGTGTGTGTGTGTGTGTGTGTGTGTGTGTGTATGTAAGAAACTAGCTTTTTTTGTAGAGAAGGTTTTTTTGCTTGAGCAGCTGGCTTAGGTCTCATTTAGTAAGATGGGGGAAGACTGCAGGATAAACCTGAAGATATAATGAGCGTCCAAAAATGCAACATCGAACAGCTAAATGTAGCTTTCCAGTGGATAGCTGAATATTCCAGTAAGGCTCTCAGGAGACCCTGTCTTAGTGATATATATTTGGGAGTTATCCATATACAAGTGGTTTTTAAAACCTTGATATCTACTCAGCAAATTTTCCTAATCAAAGATATGATTATTCTAAAATTTATGTGGAAATACAAAGGAACTAAAATATCTAAAATAATCCTGACAAAGAATAAGAGGAATTGCTTTTCTTGATAGCAAGATTTATGTGTAGTATTGAATTCAGCACTTTGTGGTATGGATCACCGGAACAGAATAAAGAACCTAGAAATAATACCATACAATGGCCAACTGACATTGGACAAAGATACATGATCAATTCAATAGAGGAAGGATAGTCTTAAAAAAAAAAAGGTGCTGCAGCAACTGAATATTCATAGATTGAAAAAAATGAAACTCAATCTAACCTTCATGCCATCTACAAAATTAACTCAAAGTTGATCATAGATTTACATTAATGTTCGTGGTAGCATCATTTATGGTAGCCAAAAAGTAGAAAACAGCTTAAATGTTCATCAATTGATGAATGGTTTTGACCTTGGGCTGCTTTTATTTGCAGTTGCATGTATTATTTTATTGCTCTCTGGATGTTTAAATCATTTGGTGGTTCCCAGTTCTTTGGATCCATTTTTCCCATAGTTCTTTCATGACTTGTCTTTTTCCTTTGAAATATGTAAACTTCATACTAGGAATGCATTTTGATGGCCTAAAGTTTGTAAATCTAAGATGAGATCTGAGATCACATGGATAAACAAAATTAGTATAACCATACCATTTGTATTAGTTTCCTAGGGCTACTGAAACAAATTACTACAACCTACATGGCTTATAACAACAGAAATTTTTTTCTTTTTCACAGTTCTGGAGGCTAGAAGTCTGAAATCAAGGTGTAGGCAGGGCTATGCTCCCTATGAAGCCTCTCGGGGAAGATCCTTCCTTGCTTCTTCCTAGCTTCTGGTGGTTGGTGGCAATCCTTGGCAGTCCTTGTTTTGTAGACATTTCACTTTAATCTTTGCCCATCTCTTTATGTGGTATGCTCCGCTTTGTGTATGTACCCCAATTTTCCTCTTCTTATAAGGACACCTGTCATAGTGGATTGGGACTCAATCATCCTAATCTTATGTGACCTCAGGTTAACTTGATTGCAATTGCAACCATAATTCCAAATAAAATCACATTCATAGAGTCTGGGTCGAAATGAACTTTTGGGGAACATTGCTCAACTCAGTATACCATATATATCACTTAGCATGTTTTCAAGACCCCATGTTGTACCCTAAATTCACACTTTATTCCTTTTTATGCTGAATAATGTGTGAGGTAACATATCCTATTAAAAGACTATTATAATTGAAACCTAGAGAAATGGCAGGAAAAGTGGAAAAAGCATATGCATTCAAAAGTTATTATGAATTAGAATTAATAGGATTTGGTGAGAGGGAGAGAAGTCAAAGCTAACATGACTGGAACAATGAGGAGGAAAAGATTTGGAGGAAACAGATAAATTATATTTTGCACAGAAACAGCCTAAAAGAACATCAATGACCAGATAAGCGTGGAGCTCCTCAGAGAGGCTATTGGTTAAGCTTCAGAAGTCATCTTCCTAAGAGGTATTAATGGACTTATTAAAATGATGTTTATCAAGAGAGAAAGGAGCTGAAATTGGGAGCTAGGAATAAATCTTTAAGGATCTATTATTCCTTTAGGAAACCATCAAAGGAAAAGAAACAATAAAGAGGCTTAAGAAATAGTAATCAGGGCCAGAGATTTAGCTCATTGGTGCCACTGCCTCATAAGCTCAAGATCCTGAGTTTGATCCCTGGTACCAAAAAAAAAAAAAAAAAAAAAAAAGAAAGAAAGAGTAATCAAACAAAAGACAAAAAAGAGATCAGTGCTTCAAAAAATATTGCACTGAAATGTAACCCAACATAATGATGACAATAGTCATTTTATAGTCTCCTATATTGTCAGTCACCATTATAAGAGCTTTACAAATATTGTCAGTTAACCTTCACATGATCCGATTAAAGTAAATACTATTATCAACTTTACAGAAGGGAAGGTAGAGACATAGTTTAAGTCTCTTGCCCGAGGTTACCTGTTGAAAGGGCAGGAAACAGTCCATATTTTAAAATCATGAATAGTTAACACATATAGCACTTTCAATGTGACTTGAGACTTTAAGTAATGTATATCTACTGATTCACATAATTCTCACTCTAGCTTTTTCTTTTTTTTTTCTTAAATTCTTTTATTGGTACATTTTAGGTATACAACACAATTACATTTCTCATTGGAAATTGTACCTTTACATGATGCATCTTGGTTCTTATTTTTTCCCCATTCCTAGCCCTCCCTTCACCCCCTCCACCTTTCCCTATTTACAAAGACTTTATTTCCATTTTTTCCATTTCTCATCATTTTTCCTTTCCCTTCTTTCCTTTCCCCCGCCCCTCCCACTATCCCTACCCCTTTGGACCTTTTCTTCCTATTTTGCATTATCAATTATTTATTCTAATCATTGGTACATTTTAGGTATACAATATAATGACATTCATCATTGGAAATTTGCACCTTTACATAATCTCTCTTGGCTCTTATTTTTCACCCTTGCCCAGCCCTCCCTTCAACCCCTCCATTCCTCCCTATTTACAAAGATTTTGTTCCTATTTTTCCAATTTCTCATATTAATCCCATTCCCTTCTATCCTTTCTCCTAGCCCTCCCACTTCCTTCCCCTTTGCCCCTTTTCTTCCTATTTCACATTACCTGTTATACATGTTAGTCCTTATTTACACTTTCCGTTTCTCACACCAGAGAAACTATTTGGTATTTATACACGTGTGTCCTATTTATTTCACTGAAGAGTATCGCCTCAATGTGCATCCACTTAGATATGAATGTCTCTAATTTCTCATTTTTTTATGGCTGTCACTCTAGCTCTTTGAAGTGCTATTATCTCTTCATTTTATACATGAAGAAGCTGAGGTATAGAAAGGTTATATAAACTGCCCAAGATCATACAGGTAGGATGGTCTGAATTCATACTAGATTCTCTGACTCTAGAGTGGTGTTCAGATTTAACTTGGAAAGTGTAATGTCCCCCAAAATCATTCTATCTTTCGGGGAATAGTTGTTTCTTCCATTTATTGACTCTCCCAGGGAAGCACTCGTTTTTCAAAAGTTTCACTAGAAAATTGGGCTCAGAATAAACTATGATTCATTTGCAGGCAATTCTCAAAGTTTTATTTCTGATCATATAAAAAAATCTGTAATTTGGGTTTGTTTGAAAACATCTGGGAATTTCCACAGAGTGACTTCCTGGGATGGGTCAGAAAACCACCTACCTCACTCATTAATGACTGCAGTGTTCTGCGTGATTCACTGATTACAGGAGACTGGTGAAACAGGCTGAGAAAACAGTGGCACATGAGGAATAAATATTACTCAAGTTTTCTGTAGTTCCTGTATTTTTTCAGAATTAACTTTCTAAGCTTTGACTCAGAGGTCAGTGATGATTAGCTAATATGGTTCATTTTGTCATAACAAACGATGATGTTGCACTCTTTGGGGAGTGCCTCAAAGCCAATATTATCGGATTTTTAAAATTCTTATTTTATTTTTATAAGGGAATGTAAAATATATGTGGTACTTTGAAAAATTT